GAATCTTTGTTTGCAAAGTTAGTAACAAGGATTATCTATGGATAAAAATAAGAACATTGTGATAAACATGTTGTAAGTCTGTCATTGCATCGTGGTTGATGGTTTTTTCATGATGGCAGTTATGTAGTTGTAAAAGTTATATAGTTTAATGAATCCGAAAATCATCTACTCAGCATCTGGAACTCTTTGTTTGCAAAGTTAGTAACAAGGATTATCTATGGATAAAAATAAGAACATTGTGATAAACGTGTTGTAAGTCTGTCATTGCATCGTGGTTGATGGTTTTTTCATGATGGCAGTTATGTAGTTGTAAAAGTTATATAGTTTAAGATACGACCTTTTCTCCCCGCTGTGGTGTTATATAATCTTTGAGGAAATTTAACCACCTTCTAAAACTGAAACATGAGTTCTATAAAGCTCATTGTTTTAATGAATTATACCCATTTTGGAAAAACCGTGTATGAATAGATTTACAAAAAAATACATTAAATCTTTCTTTAGTTTACAGGTTTGGCGATGTGTGGCGCTGATAACTTAGCGTTATTTAAACCACAATGACCGTAGAAATACGCCATATTTGAGCTAGTTGTGTTTTGTAGAAATTCGCTGTGATAGGAATGAACTTTTTGGTCTGTAGCTAAGCCAGTTTTATTAACCTTTACCACCGAGAAAAATCCTAGTGAATATCAAAGTCCACCATCCTACTCCGTAGTTTGCAGAAGATAACGCGTAAAACTCTCACGTTCTGGAAACATGAAAGACAACGAAGGCTCGCCAATGAAGATCTTAATATATGCTGCTGTCTTCTTCTCGAGCGTTATTGGTCAAGGTGAGATTATTTAGTCCCATTTGTTTAGTTAATGTGCCATTATTTATTCTCAATACACACGTATATTCTGTGTGAATAATATTAAGGGTACAGCTTAAAACAATCTAATGAAAGTTTTCATTGAAATTCGATTGGATGACTTATTGTTCAACTTAGCTAGGTTTAGGTTTCAGTCTTGAACTATTTTGTTCTTATTGTAGTGCCTCCAAGGATACAGCCTTTTGGATTTCCAGCTTTCGCTGAAGAAGGTAAACAAATCCAGTTCATTTGCGGATTAGAGACGCACGACACTGGTGCTGATTTTAAGTGGTTTAAAGATGGCCGACCTTTGCACTCAGGCGATAAGTGGACAATTCTTTCTCCTGGTAGAGTTTCGGTGTTAATATTGAACAGTGTGACCACAGAAATATCGGGAAACTACACCTGTGGTGTCCGAAATTCAGTTGGTCAAGATGAATTCACAACCGAACTTAGAGTTAAAGGTATTTGTTTTCCATTTATATTTGAAGTACTGGAAATGATTAGAAACAAGTTCTGATGGTATTATCGATCTGGGAATTGATATTATCGATCTGGGAGTCGGATGTTAATTGGTATTATCGATCTGGGAATCGGGTGTTAATTGGTATTATCGATCTGGGAATTGGGTGTTAATTGGTATTATCGATCTGGGAGTCGGATGTTAATTGGTATTATCGATCTGGGAGTCGGATGTTAATTGGTATTATCGATCTGGGAGTCGGATGTTAATTGGTATTATCGATCTGGGAGTCGGATGTTAATTGGTATTATCGATCTGGGAGTCGGATGTTAATTGGTATTATCGATCTGGGAGTCGGATGTTAATTGTATTATCGATCTGGGAATCGGGTGTTAATTGGTATTATTGATCTGAGAATCGGGTGTTAATTGGTATAATTTGTAGCCACAATTATCAAAACTAATTAAACTTGTAACCCAGTGTTACTCCAATAAACCGTCAGGTGCTTGTCCTCAATCTGGGAAAGGCAGATAAGACAGTTTCCTATTTTTCTATATTGGCATGACCTTCCAACTCTAAGAATATGTCGTCTTTAGTGCTTCTTTTCTTCAAACTTCTTACGACATATACCTATAATTCAAATACTGTTTTGGAACGTTGATGTTTAACAGTAATATAGACGTATTCTACTTCCAGCAAAGTAAAGATTGGTTCAACTTGGTATCAAAACTGTACGTCCCCCGGTGGGACAATGATAAGTTAAAGGACTTACAATGCTCAAATCCAGTGTTCGACCCCCTCGTGGTGGACACAGAAACTAGATAAAATTTAAAATTTGGTGCTTGTAAATTTGTCTACAAGTTTGTTTTTTTTTTAATCTGGCAAGCCCCATTTTTCATCTTCCTATATATAGCTACTAATCTTAATAATAACGTTATTTATACTTTGTATTTTTGTATTTAATCACGTGATTTGATATCTTAAATTAAATGTATTTAACACGAAATATTGTTACTTTCCTTAAGCCTTATTCCAACACTATTTACACACATATCTGACAATGCGATTATTCTGTGGTTTATGTAATGATAACAAAGTCTCAGCAGAGAAATCAAATTAAAAAAAAATGATGTAGATACATCAAAACTGAGCCCAACTTCTCGTAGAGCTGGATATCACAGCTTAATAGCAATGCTTGCCCTCATATTGATGCTTTTATATATATTAAAAGTGAACGTTGAACAAAAAACACATTTTCGTTCTAGGTCCTCCAAAATGGAAATATGAACCTACTGACCTAGAGTCGGGCATTGGAGAAACTGTGACGTTTCGCTGCAGTGCTTGGGGTTTTCCAAAACCTAGCATTTCGTGGATGAAACAAGAAGGTGCGTGTTGGTGCACGTGGAGATAATATTATGATAGTTTTAATATTACCGTTTATTAATTACCTCCTGAAAAGCATTGTGGCTTGTTTTGATTAGTTTTAACTAAAATCACATCCAAATCTTTCTTTAACAATCTCAGCTTAATTGGTATACATATCAGTATTTAAGCAAATAATAACTTCTTCAAATTATCTGTTGACCTCTAGTATCTTACCGAGCTAGCACAAAATAAGTTTGAGTAGGAAATTACAGGTAGTAGAAGAACCATACAATCCAGAGCTTTGCAGGTTGGTACAGAGGTATAGAAAATGCCCACAGGTGGCGCTGCAAGGTGTAATTAAAATGGCCTCTGTCCATCAAATCTAGCAAAGTAAATAGCAGCACGAATAAAATATTTTGTGATGTGTAGCACATGATCTGGAATATTATTTTTTATCTCAAGTGTAAACATTGGGGGATCTGTGGTAAAAGTACTGAAGATTAGTAAGTGGATGAACGAGATCGAATTCATACTTTTAATTAATATCCCCCTTCGCCACGTTCGTGCAAGATTTTTATTAAGCCAGCGTTAAAATTATGTCAAAAAACAACCAGACGTCACATTCTCTACTATCTTATTAATGGTCCTCCACTGGTTATTTCAATGTTTAATCCTGTGGACCAAAAAACAAGACAATGTGTATATACATAGATGCACATATATTTCTTTTGTTTTCCGAGGCAAAGCAAAGGGCACACTTCCAGGCTTCATGAGAAGGAAGCAAACAAAAAGCCCCCTTTTCAGGACGGCGGGGATACATGTATTCTATGCCGGGGATTTGACTGTGGGGGTGAGGAAGTGCCCCGAGAAAGCCCACTTTCACTGGTTGAGCTCCTAATAGTCTACCCAACCAGTGCCTGAGGGGGATAGCTAGAAAGTGGAAAATGAAGATTAGTGGAAATACAGATTTGACTGTGGGGGCGAGGAAGTGCCCCGAGAAAACCACTTTCACTGGTTGAGCTTCTAATAGTCTACCCAACCAGTGCCTAAGGGGGATAGGCTAGAAAGGGGAGAAGTATAATTAGTGAAAATACAGATTTGACTGTGGGGGCGAGGAAGTGCCCCGAGAAAGCCCACTTTCACTGGTTGAGCTCCTAATAGTCTACCCAACCAGATAGCTAGAAAGGGGGAGAAGGATGATTAGTGAAAATACATTTAAAAGGAACTTTAACTTATAAATTTTGTTCTGATACAGAAACGTTGAACTCTTCTTCACTTGTGTCATGATCTGATGAGTAGAAATTTGCGGGGTTAGCTGTTGCCTGTATCTTGATCGTTGGTGGGTCAGTCTGAATAGCTTTACCACTTTGCTTCGGCTGGAACTGTGTCTTCTGGATCTTTTTTCTTGGGGGTTTCTGTTTCTGAGACTTCAACTGGTTCTGTTTGAGTTTCTTGGTCATGGACTGGCGTGGTTTCTTCGGTTGTTGTTTGGATTTCCTGGTTTGTCACGACCGGATGGCTGTTTTCGTTGGTCTGCGTGTACTTTGTCTCGAAAGTTTTGACGATTGGTGGAATGTCTGTTTGTATACGTGTTGTAATAGAGGTGTTATTATGTTCTGGTGTTCGTCTGTAGAGTCTTTCAGCTCTGAAATGTAAAAAAAACAAGTAGAAAAAACAACAACAACCGGGAGTTAGAGTATAGTTAGCAGTTTTCTTGGAATAGGTGGTTACCTTTAGGCCTGATCTCGTGGACTTCTTTACTTTCAGATTGTGTTGAAGGGCTTGGTGGATGTCGCGTTAGAAGTATCTACGTTGCTAAGGAGGACAGAGAAAAGTTTTGTATTACTTTTTTGGTTGTTGGCATGTCACTGGTGGAACTCAGCTCCACGGAGAATAGAAATAGTGAAGGTCGTTGATTGTAAGGGGTCGGATAAAAATCCCTTCCCGACGTCTTGGACTCCTCGATGGATAAACTGAAACGACCGTCGAAGGGTAACCATGTTCTAATGAAGTCACGTGATAACCAACTAAGATTTTAAGGCCATCTTGCAGCGCTACCCGTGGTCGTTTTTGTTTTATAAATACGATTATATCCGAACACTTTTACACTTTCTTAAAAATAGTATCTAAGATCTAACTGTAACATGAAGTTGTTAATAAAACACTTACTGATTGTTCTAATTCTCGAACAAGATTAAATTTGGAAATTATATTTCCAGTAAAAGGAAACTTTGTCCAGGTGCCAAAAGGCTCCGAATCTGAAGATACATTTATTATTGAAGACGTCAGTCAGGATGATGCTGGACTTTACACGTGTTTAGTGACCAATGGAATCGGTGAAAGCCTGAAAAAAACATTCACATTTTCAGTTAGAGGTACAATTTAAATGAATAAATGTTTTTCCTTGAAGAGTGTCAAAAAAATCTCTTTCTCCGAGTTAACATTTGGCAATAAGTTAAAAAAAAGGAGAGTTAGAGCGCCACTTCTTTTTGTCCATTCATTACAACCTTATTCAGCTTGCACACGTATTACTAAAGTGTTCGGTTATACGAGCTACGAAAGAAATGTAATTTTAGTTTTATCAAATTTGATTTTATATCATTGGTACATGTTTGTCGACGTAACGCTCATCTTGAAATGGGGACACCCCCCAGTGGCACAGCGATATGTCTGCAGACTTCCAACGCTAGAAACCGGGTTTCGATACCCGTTGTGGGCAGAGCAGAGATAGCCCATTGTGTAGTTTTGTGCTTAACTTCAAACGGACAGACAAACATCTTGAAATGGGATCACGCGGGACACACACATGTAAGAAAACAAAACGAAATAAGTAAGTGGAGGATGAAAAATAAAAATGATTTTGGAACTCAAACGATTGGTTAATTTTCTAACGTAACGAATTATCAAAAGCGTCTCGTACTTTAATAGTTGAGTAGATAAATAATACTGTGTTTACTTTTCTTTCTGGGTAATTGGAATGAACTCTGTTTATAGAATCTTGCAGGGAGAGAATTTCGTTTATACCATCCTCTAATTTCGTCCAAATATCACGATTCTTGGTCATCTCGATACGTGGCGCTCTTGTCGTTCAATGATCCTGTACTTTTAACCTGGTTGTATTATGCTACAGTCGCCATTTTGAGCTTGAGCTGGGATGGATAATACCCCTACGAATAGCACTTTGGAATACAAATTGTTAAATCTTTCCAAAAAAACTCGCGTTTAGGTGAATACCTTCTTTAGAATATTATCGTGCCGCATGCGCAGATGCTATATGTTTAGTTGAAGGATTCCTATAGAGATAAAGCTTGATGTTTAACTTCGTTGTAAAGGAGGTGCCCTCGTCTGGCATCGTGGAAAGAAGAATTCTGGTGGTGCTCTTTATAGCAATACAGCTGCTATTCGAGGCAAGTGGAGAAGGTAAGCTTTCTATTGTTACTAGCAGTTATTTTAATCTACTTTACAGTAGGATAAAAAAAAAACGTAATTTAATGTCTATCGTAAATATCACTATAATTGTTCAAACTGTATTCTCTATTTATTAGCGTAACGTTTAATTTTTGGGGCTATTAATAGTGGATTATGTTAGTGTACACAGATATCCTGTTATATTTCCAGGTGACTAGTTGGTCCTAAACTCGTCTTGTTCTGTTCTAGTGTCTGTGAGAATTCAACCTTTCACTTTTCCACAAAAAGTAGAAGAAGGGGAACAGGTACAAATCACGTGTGGTGTCAAAGCTGGGGACGATCCGATTGAATTTGTGTGGTTTAAAGATAGTACACCTCTCGAGACTAAAGACTTTTGGACCATTCATAATCTTTCGCGTGTTTCTTTACTGATCATTAACAATGTGAAAGTGACTATTTCTGGGAACTACACTTGTCTGGCTAGAAATCGGTTCGGCGAAGAAAGTTACACTTCGGAACTTCAGGTCAAAGGTAACTAGGCCTATTTTACATGTTATGTGCTCTGTCTGTGGTATAGTTTTAAAAGACAACTAGACAAACTTCACATATGAACTCAATCTGAGATATTTGTCTAAAGGTAACTAGGCCTATTTTACATGTTATGTGCTTTGTCTGTGGTATAGTTTTAAAAGACAACTAGACAAACCTCACATATGAACTCAATCTGAGGTATTTGTCTAAATGTAACTAGGCCTATTTTATATGCTATGTGCTCTGTCTAAGGTATAGTTTTAAAAGACAACTAGACAAACCTCATATGAACTCAATCTGAGGTATTTGTCTAAAGATAACTAGGCCTTCTTTACATGTTATGTGCTCTATCTGAGAGATTTATCTAAAGGTAACTAGGCCTACTTTACATGTTGTGTGCTCTACAGTGGCGTCATGCCCGTAGGCCCTGGGTCCCCTAATTGTTTACCATACGCTGTTTTAATAATTCCAAATCCATGTATAAACATTTGATTAAATATGTTCAAGATATCTGTCTGTATTAGAAACCAGTAAGTTAATGAAAGTAACTATATTATTAATTATATGAAAAGTAAAAGGTACCCCATTTGTTATTGTTTGTAATGATTATTGTTATTTAAAAAGTAACTAGGCATACTTTACGTGTTGTGTGCTCTATATGAGGTATCGGTTTCTGACATTATCAGCAAGCACGAGACGTTTATATTAGTGGCGAACGTGCTAGAACATTCTATAAGTCACATAGTTTTTACCACACTTTTTCTACAAGTAATTTTATCATTTTACAGTTATACACGTCACGTGACTGCTCATAACGAATCATCTTTGCCCTTACACTTTGAAGAGTTGTCCGTTTTTGTTTTTTTTCACAGGTCCACCTCAGTGGAAGAGTAAGCCTAAGGATCAAATTGCCAATCTTGGGGAGAAAGTTGTTTTCATTTGTAACGCCTATGGTTATCCAAAGCCAACTGTTCAGTGGTGGAAAGTTTCTGGTTGGTAACAAAAAAGATTAAAATCTTCGTTATTGTTCATAAATATATTTAGGCTAATCTCATTACAGATATTCAATAATCGTCTGCTTTGTTTATTCAATGTTTCACATATTTTCATTTATGCGATTTTATGTTATCTTCCAATTAAAACTTAATGGTATTCGGCCAAAACACAAATCTATTTTCCTCCAGTTAAAACGTTTTTTTTTTTTTTTTTGTATATATAGGAATCGATACCAAACTGCCTATTTCATCCCTAGATCAACGTCTAAAAGACAATGAAGGCTTATTGGTCATTTCAAAAGTTACTGAAGCTGATGGTGGTGTCTTCAAATGTGAAGCGTCCAATGAAATTGGAGATTTGTCTGCAATTGTGAATCTAAAGGTTAAAGGTATTGAAAATTAGAGAGGTAGATATTGAACCTTCCCATAACAAGCTAAGTTTTCGAATGAAACAAGTGTAAACAATTAACTATTTTTCAGATCTACAGCATTTTTGAGTTGCAGGTATTTGGCATTGTTATCGTCTCAAGTGTACGTTTAGAAGAAATAACAGTGGTTAAAGTGTCAATAACATTTCTCTACTTATCATACTCCGTCGTTTGTTTGTGGATGGATATTTTTGATATAATTTGATATTATGGTAGTGGTCTTGATGGTTGGGGTGCTCGACTCGCAGTCTGCAGGTCACGGGTGCGAAGCCCGCCACCAAACATCCTTTCAGCTGTGTGGGTTTTGTAATACGATGGTTAATCCTGCTTTTTGTTGGTAAAGAGTAGCTCAAGTGTTGGTGAGAGTGAGTTTGAGTGGCTATCTTCTCTTTAGACCAGAAGTGGCCAATCCCAGAGCAGGGAGGGAGCCAGAAGAGCCGCGGGTTGGCCACTTCTGCTCTAGACTATCACTTCTAAATTAGGGACGGCTAGCACAGATAATCCTCGAGTAACTTTGTGCGAAACTCAACAAACAAACAATTCGGTAGTGTTACTGGAACGTTTTATTATCAAATAATAGGGGTGTGAAAAGTAAATTGTTCTTAATTGACGTAGGTGTATTTCAAAAGCTTGCTATGAGTTTCACTAAATGAGAAATTAATGTATATAAGACAGACTGCCCGAGTTGAAAAGTGGTTCGTTTTTATTACTGATTTCAATATATTTAATAAGGGACCGTTGATTTTATTATTGAAAATAAAAGAAATTAAAATAAAACTGTACGTTTTATACTAGACTACTATAATCAATGGCGATACCATGTGTTTGGTTTTCGATTAATTTGTTTACTGGCTAAGCCTAATTTTATGTTCTACTTTTGATTATAATACTAACACTTAACAGTGTTAAATGTTTATTTGTTGATGATTTTGTTTCATTGTAATTATTTGCTATGTGTTTTACAATTCGATGTTATGTACAAGATTAAATATTTATTTTTGTACACAGTTATACCAGAAACTTGTTTACTTGTTGGATTCCACGATTTTACTGTAAAAAATTATTTACGCTGAAAACTCATTAGCCTTACCAGTTGTAATTAAAATGACATTTTTGTGCTAAAGATGTTTGGTAGTTGAGAAGCTTTGTTAGAAATAACTTGTGTCAAGCAATTCTCCATATCTCATATGTGTGAGATAGTGCTGCCACCTGACGGGTTATGGATATAATATTACTATATATATATATATATACCTAACTCCAGGCTACTTTGGGTGTCTTATACACCATTTAAAAGCTAGACAAACAATTTTTGAACGTTATGTATATTTTTAGAGAACAATGGCCGAAAACTTACAATAGTTGGAATGTTAATAATAGTTATCATTCATACAGTTTATACATCGTCTTTAATTGTCCTTATTATATCAAGATTTGTCATATAGTCGTCTAGGCATTGTATTTAATTTTTTTAATTACATCTTTTATCATCATATTCATATCATTACTCAACAAAAATATAATTTTATTAATTTCACGTGTTTAACATGTTTTCAAGTGTTTGCTGTCACATGACTTTGCAATAAATATCGTCAAAAATATATTGACCAACTGTGACTCAACCTGCAAGTCTACTGATCAATCGTGAGGAGCAATTTGAATCACTGGTTAATTCAAATTGCGATTGTTGTATTGGTCCCACCAGATGGCTAACCCAGAATGGCAACTAACTCGAATGTTCTTGTGGTTTATTACATTATTCAGTTGGGTTAGAATCGCCATGTTTTAACACTATTTTCATTAAGTATTAAGATATCAAACGGCGATTAACCTCGAAACAGGTTGTTAAGTGTAAATCATTATAACCAGATTTATCCAATCATCTCATCTGGATACAAGTTTGCGTACATCATACGCGAATTGTATTTTCGCTATTTCTTTTATTTAAAAAGACTGTTATTTGATAAACTATTTTATTTCCTTCTCTCTCTTCCTAATACGTGGCGCTACAGTAGCATCACCCTATTTTTCTTACCCGACACCACAGTTGTTGGAGCAAACGACGCCATATTACCAAAGGTATTGCTTCGAGAAGCCATGTTACCGAGATGCCCTTCAGATAATTGTATTTTAATATGTGATTAAGAGAATGATGATTTATATCGGAATTTCAATATACATAAACAGATTTTTAACAAAAGGTCAAGAAATTTCTCTGTAAAAGTGGACACTGTGTGCTACAATTCATGCGTTTTACTTTAACAATGAAGCCACCTTCGTCTGCAAGAAGTGGATTACCAGCACTATTCCTTCTGTCCTGTCTTGTGAGCTGGTCATCTTCGGAAGGTAAGTAACGAGTCGCAAGTTTTCTGTTGGATTTCTGTCAGTAATTATTATCCTCTGTTGTATTAATGACTTGGAAATACTCTATTAAAGTGTTTGTTTTTCTTTTGATTTCTTTTGTCACCTGCATTGTGTACATTGAAAACTCATGGAATATTGTTCAAATAAAGAAATAATTTTCTGTTAGGCCTTTCTCTACAGTTTAGATCCAACTGGATTCTTAGACAATTCATTGTTCTTAAACGTAACAATAATAAATTAACTATAAAAATATCATTAACTTTTTCCTTGTTTTTCATTTGCCCTACACCCCCCTCCCCTTATCCCCGGAAGTTCGATGATAAGTTTGAAGGTTTATAATGCTAAAAACCGGGTTTCGATACACGCGGTGGACAGGTCACAATTAACCCATTGTGTAGCTATTTGCTCTATAGCAAATAATCAAACAAAATTCGTCTGTGAAAACAAATATTTTATTGGCCCAGGCTATGCCGGATATAAATACTGATTCTCGTTATTTCCAGACGTTGTGAAAATTCGACCATTTCATTTTCCTAAGTTTGTGGAAGAAGGCGAAGAAGTTCCAATAGTTTGTGGACTAAGAGAAAGAGACGAGGATGTCAAATTTTCTTGGTTTAAAGACTGTTTCTTATTAGAGCCTCAAAAAGGAGTTAAAATTCTGTCCACTGGTGAGTTTTCTGTACTCACCATCACAGACGCCAACGGTCAATCGTCGGGGAATTATACCTGTAAAGCTGAAGTCTCCACTGGAAGAGATGACCACACAGCCGAGCTCTTAGTCAAAGGTATTTTTACTTCTTATTTCCCGAAAATATTTCTACATTTTTTGATGTTTTGTGTATTTGGTAGTAATCCGTACAAGTCAATTCTCTTTAAAGATTGCTGTTATGCAAATTTCATTAGTTCTGTAGGGAGTTACGTCAATTTTTTACTCTGCTTTAATTTAACTTGTATGTATGTAAGTGTAGTTTTTATACAAAGAAAATACAAATTTCTTTGTTAACTAGACCACCAGCAACATATAATATGGAGGATTCTACTTGTATATAGAATATCCCAAATATGACGCCTCTTTTTACCGTTTTTTGTTTTTTCTTTTTAGAATAGGACGACCCTTGCAAATTAAAATTTAACATAATTGAATACGAATTAAATGAAATCGTAAGAAAACAAACTAATAAACGGAGAGTTGAGTGTAAATGGTATTGCTAATTGTGGTCGTGGTCGAATAGCTGCTATCAAAAGAACTTCGATTATCTTCGAAATGTTCTGTCTCCACAAATAGTTTGATTGTAAACAAAGAACTTGTATAATTATACTGTTCTCCTATCCTGTTGTTGTTGTTTTTAGGACCTCCGTCGTGGCGTTCGAAGCCATCAGATGTCTCTGCCAATCTTGGTGATAGGGTGAAATTTCCTTGCGAAACGTTTGGTTTTCCAATTCCCAGAATAACGTGGACGAACGAGAATGGTAAGGTAATGCGTAGTGTTTGAAATTAACACTAAACGTCTGGTGGTTATTTAAATTCCTTTATTCTAATCTGATTATACTGGAGCTTATATTCATTCACTTCGCTTTACAGGTGACTTGTGGGAAATGGAACCAGAAAAAGAAACACCAACTCGTGTCCACGTTATCAAAGATGGCGCGTTTGTCATAGAAACTGTTAAGGAAGAAGATGGCGGACTTTATACGTGTAAAGCCTCAAATGGCATTGGAGTAGGGTTACAGAAAACTATACGACTGAATATTATAGGTGAATAAAGGCTTTACCACTGATTCTTGTCTTCAATGCTCATTCTTGTTGCATATCTCATTGCCAAAGAAATGTTTGTTTATATTTTAATAGCAATAGATATAAATATTAACTGTTTAGAAGTTTGGAAATATTCGCTAACGTAGGAATCTTTTACTGTCATCACTGTGATGCTTGAAGGACCGTTTTGCTTGAAACAACATTTAATTGGGAAATCAGAGCATATCGAACGGGTTGGTTTTCACACGTTGCAGTTGTTAAAAGCCAGAGGAATGGCTGTATAATTAATAATAGGTAGTTTTAGTAACGGTGTAAATAATGTTTGATATTTAGGAGTGACGTTACAACGCACTCCTGCTGCTCAAGTATCCGATGATCCGCTGTTTTGTATTTAGGAAATAAAACCTTTCCTGGTAATAATTTATCAACTATATTTAAGGTTTTTGACGGTATGTGGCGCTGGCAACATTTTTTTTTTCGCTTTGTTTTGTGGAAAAGACTTTGCAAGCAAACCAGTCGCCATATTCAGAAGGAGGTATCTGGACTCGCATGTCGGTTGGCTCTCTGGTGCGATTTATTCATAACTTCGGCTGAAGAAATGATACTAATAGAATATTAAAGCTGGTATTCAACCTCATTTCTCACGGTTTTCGTAATTCGAAAGCATATGTCATCGAGAATGAGAAAACGCGCGTGGAACACCGTTCTTCGGGTGGTTCCCTGCTACTCCCATGACTTTAATGGCCGAACATCGCTAGTTGTTTTCCTCTTCCTCAGCCTGTGTTCAGATGTTCTCACCAAAGGTAAGATCCTAACACGTGATGTATTAGGTTAAATTACAATAGAAATGCTTAGAATATTTATTATTATAAGAGAATTGTGTAATAATAATTATTTTTCTTATAGTTACAAAGTTGTATTTACTAGGAATATTTCATAAATTTGTTTTCATTTTGGTTAACAGAGTTTCTCTTTCAGTAACACTGAAGATCCAACCGTTTAATTTTCCTCCAAATCCACCAGAAGAAACTAACATCCAAGTAGTGTGTGGCTTAGAACGTGGAGATTTGCCAGTGGAGTTTCAGTGGTTAAAGAATGACATTCTAATCACCAGAGGGAGTGTATATGATATTGTTCCCTCGTCAACTGTTTCTGTATTAATTATTAAAAACGCTACAGTGAAAAGTTCAGGAAATTACACGTGCAGTGCTCGAGGCCCTAGCGGCGAGGATAGTTATACAGCCGAGTTACTGATCAAAGGTAGGGAAAAACTGAGGGAGATCTAAAGATTGTAATTCTAGCATTACCAAGTAATTCAGTACGTGCCTTGTAATTAATGTTAGAATGCCTTACCAAATGTACTCTCTGGAAAATCGGAGAGCTTATAACGCTAAAAGTCGGATTTCGATACTCGCGTTGGGTAGAACACAGATCGACCATGATGCTAAACAACAAACACTTACCAAATGTTGAGCCACAAGGATTCAGACGCAAACTATTGAAATGCTTCTTCCAAATCTTAATACGAGCTTGCTCAAACAAGAATATTTAATGCTGCACAGTTTAGGCCTAGACTAGACATGTAATTTTAGAACCACTTGTGAAAAGAATCATTTTTATCTTATCCACCTTCCTGGCGTAAAAAAACAACAAAAACTATGGCATTTCTTCAGTAGTTAAAATGTGCAGAAATAATTTTTTTCAGGCTAAATTAAAGATATAAAACTTTGGTAGAGGGCGCTTTATGGATCTGCTTGATGACGTTCTACATTTATGTGAATGGCCGCATCTCGTGAGACAGTGACCATATTTATAGATTTGAACCATACAAGTCCTGCAGTTTTTGAGGGAGCCGTTGTAGGATTAAAAAAATAACTTTTTTAAAAAAATGATTTACAGTACATCGCAAGCTTACGTACAAAGTGACTACCTTAATTGTGTCTTGCACCCAAAATAGCACCATGCAGAGGCCTGAAACACCCAGGCTCAGTCATTACTAAATACACAGTTCAATAATAGCTAGTTTGTGCCTATTTTAACATTGTTGGGCAACATTATTTATAGCCGTACTATATTCTTCTGCTAAATCAATGTGGCGGAAGAATCGGTGTGACGTCAGTAGTGAACTATCAAAAGAAGTACGACACACACGGTTTGTTTACAATTGCCTTATAAATCAACATCAAATAAATATCATCTAAATTCTTAAATCAACACGTTTAACGATGCGTTAAGAACAAAGAATCAGTTGTGAAGGTAGAGGTAAACTGTCTTTTTACATGATCATAATATTAACAGTTTCCAGATATACGAGTAAGGCTTAACAAAAGTCGCAATAAATATGCCAGTTTACGTGATAAGGCAGCTTTAATGAATAAGGTTTTTAATGTAATTCTCTAATGAGCACAGGTGTGAATGACTACCGTTATTTTTCTACTTCTTATGACCCCCACCACAGAGGCTCGGCGATAAATTTGTTTGTAGTTCAGCACAAACCTACATAATGGGCTATCTGTTTTGTGCCCACCACGGATATCGAAACCAGAATTGTAGAGTTATAAGTCCGTAGACATATTTATATACACACTTCTAAAGATATTACTATGTCCTTTAGTTTTATTTGCACCGGTATCATATCGGCATCAAGACATCTTCAGTGATATTTATATACACACTTCTAAAGATATTACTATGTCCTTTAATTTTATTTGCACCGGTATCATATCGGCAATTTGTGAATGGTAGTTATTGGCTTGTTATGATTACGATTTGTTTATGGTGTAGATCTTTCAGAGTGAGGGCTACTCATAGACTGATGTTTCACCTTTTTTTCCCTAGGTGTCTACATCTACTGTAAAATGAATATTTTATTAAAATTAATATTACACTTTTCATGTCCTTTTTTTTTTTCTTTAAAGGCAATGTTTAGATATAAAAACATATAAGGCCTAAGATTTTTGCCTCTGTCTTGTAGTGATTTTGGTTGGTGTAAGGTAGCTTGTTAGGCCCAAGTCTTTTATCCTCTGTCTTGTAGTGATTCCGGTCGGTGTAAAGCAGCCTGTTAGGCCTAAGACTTTTGCCTATGTCTTGTAGTGATTCCGGTTGGTGTAAAGCAGCTTGTTAGGCCTAAGTTTGTTGTTTGTCTTGTAGTAATACCGGTTGTTGTAAATTAACTTGTTATCCGAAACGCGTTAATAGGAGTGTTTTTGACTTGTTAACGATTGTTTATGTGCTAGGTCCACCAAGATGGCGGACAATTCCTGAAGACACAGTAGTTGGTTTAAAAAGTCCTTTGCGGTTACCATGTAACGCCTATGGATACCCAACATCAACAGTACACTGGACTAAAGGTAACGTTTATAAACCTTTCGGCTTAGCAGTCTTAGAGACATTGATAACAATTGATTTGTGGTATCATAACTTGTTACTTTCAAATATCGTTACAGTTCACTGGCGTAGTTATTATTGTTCTTGTAATTATATTAATGTTTGAAGTTCAAATCAATCATAAAATTTTGGTATCGGCCTTAAAAGAGTAGTAACTTATTATAAATTGCCGTTGTAGTAAATTCTGTTTTAATCGAAATGACTTTCTAAACACTTCTTACTGGCTTATTACTAGTTGTGTTAGTTCCAGAACATAAAATCAAATTGATTTATAGTTATCTTGAATTTTCTCTTCAGGTCATCCAACTAAAACAGGAGACACAGACCTCGAGAAGAGCCACTGGCAAACACTGTTGGATGGGACTTTGATCACTGACGCCATTAAATATGGCGACGGCGGGGAGTACACGTGTACAATATCCAATGGCGTTGGGCAAAATCTTCAGAAAACTGTACATGTTACTGTAAGAGGTAAAAAAAAAAAAGTCCCAAACCGGGAGTAAAAATCTCTCCAGTCGTGGTGAAGTAATATCTCTAGAAGCCACTAGAGAGCGTAGCAGATACATTTTGCAAAACGCCCTCTTTATCGTCCACCAAATTTACAAAGCGTCTGAGATACTTATACTTTTATTCAAGCTTTAAAATGAGTCTTTTATCTTTGGTATCTTGATTCCTCCGTGTAAAAGGGTTGTTTTTAAGGCTTGTGCTAATTCTTGTAGTAGGATTGAGTTTAAGGGTTAAACAAATCCTAGGATTGTGTTTAAAGATTACCGTGTAAGGATTGAGTTTAAGGGTTAAGCGAATCATATTTACTTCGTCTGATAACCGTCATAGATACGTTTTTTTAAATTGAATTTAAAATCGTTTTTTTAAATGAATTTATTATTACAAATCAAGTTTGTATAATCGTTACTTTGTCTGTTCGAAAGCTTTTAAATTTTTGCTTAGCTTTATTGAATATTTTATTCAGAAATAACGTTTTTCACAATTGTTTCTTGTCCTCAGAAACTTGTAACATAAACCGTATGTTGAAGTTCACTGTCGAACTCCTATTTTTCGATTTTCATCAATTTTTGCGTTATTTTAAATAAATCTTTTTGGATTCACCAAACCTTTTTGTAATTTTCGGTTACGACGATGTGTGGCGCTAGTGATAGTAATTCTAAATGAAAAAAATAAAGCACATATTGTAGTTGCGGCAGACATTGCAGAAACCATTCTCTGGTGTGGTTGTCTCGTTGGATGTTTGTCGAGAGATGTGTGTGTTTAGGCCTTACAACTTCCATTGTTAACGTGTTAGTGTGTTTTTTCACGGAATTAATTTGTGTCCGATTTCTCCACGTGCCTGGTTGTGTTAAAGAAACTAGATAAATCGCATCCATATAGGGTTAATCTTGCGCGAGCTTCAGCTTGTGTTACCCCATGAGGACACTGTGGATATCGACATGGACACTCGCCATGTTCATCGTTCGTTTCACCTTAGCCTTAGGTAAGTTGTTTTCCATATATTCGGTTTAATTCGCTTATTTGTGTTAAAATTATGTCCATATTATCGAGCACAACACTGGTAGTTAAAGTGTTATTGGTTCTTCACACCATTTTATATGTATATCCTGTTTGTTAGTTAATGCCTTGATGTTTTGAACGTCATCCTCATCTTTTGGACAACTGCGACATATTGATCTATTATTTAACACTGATTAATCAATTAGTCCTGCTTTTAAAAGTCATCATCTAGACAAGGACAGTATTTTAAATCAATGCAATTTAGCATTGAATGCTTTGTCCTGATGCACTATCCATTCTGTTGACATTGTCCTACGATATAACTTGTATATCCACAAGCTTTCCTTTATATTTTTAATGTCCATATGGATATTCTTTCCAGTTCCCGTGAAAATTCGACCTTTCATCATCCCCAAGTTGGTAGAAGAGGGAGAGAAAGTCCAGATGATCTGTGGATTGGAGAAAGGAAATGGCAATGTTGAGTTTCAATGGTTAAAAGACGAGATACCGATAGTTTCCGAAACTCGCTGGACCATTGTTACACATTCAGAGTTTTCTGTGTTAATGATCGATAATGTCAAAGTTACAAATTCTGGAAATTACACTTGTGTTGGAAGAAATGCAGCTGGAAAAGACAGTCATACAGCAGTGTTATCAGTACAAGGTTAGTAACACACCCGTATTTTGTTATAAAACAATAGAAAATTCCCAACTTCACAAAAGTACAAGTACACGTCTATTAAAACAATTTGTAAAGAGAGAACAAGTATTTGTTTCTGGTTTATGTTCTTACAGCGAAAGTTACATGTTGAATTCTTATCTGTCACATCTAGGACCTCCAACGTGGAAAGAAACACCTACCGATATGGAGGTTGCAATTGGTGAATCGGTTGTGATTCAATGTTCCGCTCACGCTTTCCCAACGCCCTCTGTTGTTTGGACTAAGAACTTTAGTGAGTGATTTTAATCTCTTAACTTCTAGTTGAAATGGCTCAATAAGAATACAGACGTTTTTAAACACCTCACTCTGAACTGATCCAATATGGCTGCTTTTAATCTGGCTTTTTGCTTCATGTCAGGCCGACTATCTACACCATTAACTATCTTAAGTAAAGTTTAACTTATATTTATGAGAAACTAGCTGAGACCCGCAAAACATTTGTAGTTAAATTAGTATCTTTATTGCAACAGTATTTCTTTAAATACAGGACTTCTAGAATAATACAAAATAATTCTAATTGCAGACACCGAAATTTGTAAGTTCACTTGTCTTAGGCCTAACATTAGTTAAGCCTTTATTAAGTACGGCCTATATTCGATAAAGAGATAAATTAACACTGTAAATTGGTTACATTTTTTGCTTTAGTTTAGTTAGGGATAAACTTTACCATAGTTAATACTTTCATTATATAAACTTGTATTGTTATTCTACGACCTAACATTAAACCTTTTTTAAACTTTGATAAGTGTTAATATGCTGTTGTACAAAATGTCGACTAAAGTATTTACACCCGCCTTTTGTTTACATCTGTTGAAAAGAAGTGCGCGCGCATGTGCATTTAGATGGTACGTTATGCACGCATTTTCAAGACAGACAAAAATTGGGTGTTGTTATAATAATCAATTCGTATGTGATAGATGCCAGTTCGTTATAAATAATTGAACATTGGGTTTTGAATAACAATTAAATATTCGTTGGTACAAGCTATTATTAATATGTAGGTCGTGATATTTAATATAATATAATCTAATTTTTAGAGCTTCCATCCGATACAGCCAAAGAAGATATCCAAAGTTTTGTCGATAGTCACGGAACTTTACGTTTAGACGATATTCAACGAGAAGATGGAGGCTACTACACATGCGTAATAGAGAATGGCATTGGAAGCCCCCTGCAAAAGACGATAGAAATCAAAATTAAGGGTAAATCAGTGTAAGAATCTCGTTGGGCGAGATCTTTAAAATAACACCAAAAATCATATTGTTACTTACTTCGCTTTGCTTAAGAAAAATCTTTGTTTCTTCGCGGATTTCTTTGTTTCATTGTGATGCTTCTTCTTTGTAAATATGTTTATCACGATATTGTAAGTTTGTGATTTGCAATGAAGATTGTCGTGCTCTGAAGTTATCCCGAAAATGTTTTATTGTCGATTATAGCGGCATTGGTGACTACAGCGGCACGACTACAAAATTGACTTGAAATAAAAGATAAAAGAGGCTTTTTAAGATTTTTTTCCTCACCAGAGAAAGTTTTCTTGTGGATTTCCTTTTTTAAATTAATGGTCATTATATTGTCAGACCTATTAATCGTAAATTAAATATTTAAGTAACGTTAACGTGACGTAGTTTCACGTTTGGTCATCTTTTGATTAGGGTTACTGATGAACATTCTCCGAGTACAGTTTGATCTAAGAAATTGTGATGAAATAGAAAAATGGTAAAAACGTTTAAGGTTTTCTTGTTGATAAAAACATAAAATGAATAATAATTGTTGTAGTGTCTTAATTCAACTTTTACTCCAGAGGTCATATGTCAGAGAAACATTTTATACGCCATTTTGGGGGTCTTTATGATTGAAATTATCGAAAGAGCAGAAACATGTTTTATTAAAGATATTCGCAATCTTTTCCGATATTTTTGGGCTATTTGCGGTTCTGACATCTAACGCTATGTGGCGCTGCTTTAGGATTATTAAGTTCTTTCTCACTGGAGTGAGATCGCCATATTTTGAAAGGATACCATACAGAATGATGCTATCTCTTGATGTTGACGCGGTGGTGTCTTAAGATCGTAAATAGTTTTGTGAATTCGGATTCAGAAATTGTAAAATGGCAAGAAGATATACACAGTTGTGAGGCGTTGTAAAACTGGTATTTAATTCATGATGGCCAGCTGGAAGTGTTCGTTTTGTCTACTGGTTCTACAGAGGATTCTAGATCTCCTTTTGATGAACGCCGCCATCTTGTTCGTTGCCAAAGCACAGGGTAAGTATCTATTGCTTACATTTCGAAACCTTTGATAGTTTACTGATTAAGTAGTTAATGTAGTTTATATATTTGTCAATTAAATTATTTTACAAAGTGCCTTTTAGATCAAAATGACAACTGTTAATATGACAGAAACATAACACTTGTCCTTTTGGAATAGAAGGCTCATCAGAAGTGCTTGCTATTTATTTTATCCTAACTAAGGGAGAATTTAGTACATAATTTTCATAGAGGCGTTACTTCTTTACATTATTATATTTCGAACCTAGGATTCTGTAAACATAATTATATATACTAATATTATAATTTTAGAGAGGGCGCTTCTGTTGCAAATATTTCTATTACCACAAGAAGCGACCTCTGATATTTTATATGTTTATCTTGCCTAACACAACTAATGAAAATAAAGCCAATCCACTGTAAAAGGGGTTGATGAATTATGAAGTACACAATATCCATACGACATCGATATTTTAATAATACATACATTGGTTCAACTATTGATGTTGAAGAGATCTTTTACATTAAGTTCTATTTGATAATGTTGTTTGATGCGTTTTTATTCTATTTCCAGTACCTCTGAAAATTAGACCATTTAAACTTCCCGAAACTGTGGAAGAAGGAAAGAAAGTTCAAATAGTTTGTGGCTTGGAGGAAGGAGATGGTAATGTACGTTTTACGTGGTTCAAGAATGGGGCGCCGATTGTGTCAGACATTCGCTGGACTGTTGTTACTCATGCTACTTTCTCGGTGTTAGAAATGGATGGTGTGAAAGTGGTTCATTCTGGAAATTACACTTGTGTAGCAAGTAATTCTGTGGGAAAAGACAGTCACACGGCGGTTTTGTCAGTTCAAGGTTAGTAAAAAAAAAATTAAATATGGAGAGGCTAAGCCTCTTTTGCTGTAAATATTTTTCTGGGGAAGTAAAACTTGACTGAGATCGAGCGGGATTCGAATCTGAGGTGTACAGGGCGATAAGATATTTTCAAACTAACCAAGCTACAGGGGTTTGGAATGTCACAGATACCAGTGAAATCTGAGCCAACATTCGATACCCAGTAACAGTGTTACTAATATAGTTGTTGTTACAGAACATGCAGTATCTTATCATACAAAAATACCTTCATTTTTCAAGAAGCCTTATTACTGAAACGTATATTACTCAGGTGTAAATTATTAGTATATATCTCGTCACTTTTGCAACAAATACATCTCAAAAAACCAAGTAACATTAGTTTGGCATTTAATGGAGATATTGTCACATTAAAAAAATGGAGTTTTTAAGACCAGAAATATATTTGCAGTATTACTTTCTGTATTTAAACTATACTTTAGGGCCACCAACATGGAAAGATGAACCTAGTGATGTGGAGGTTGCCGTTGGAGAATCGGTTGTCATTCGATGCTCAGCATACGGATCTCCAGCGCCCTCTGTTGTGTGGACTAAAAACAGTGGTTAGTATTTATGATTAGGTATTAATCGTTGTCGTGGTTAGTAGCCATTACAGTCACCTAAGTCTAATTGTCAATCAGAAACTTTATCATCATTAATTATATACTAATTATTGTGTGTCCTACGTTTTGGCTGCTAATCTACTGCTTGTTCAGGGAAGTGGTGAGAAAGACTACTTGTTTTTGGTACTGGCCGGGATTCAATCCTGGGTCTTCTTGATGGAAGTCTGCACTATCCACCCGACATGTATGATCATACAAGTTACTAATTATAACACTCAGTGGTGGATCGTTTTGTTTCCTGATGTCTAAAAAAATATTATAAAATGATGTCGGAGAATCACAACTTGTTATTTTTGTTTACGTCTCTTAAAGAACTGCTCATGTTGGATCACGATAACCGAAATATAAAGTAACAAAATTTGGAAGCATTTCAAATGTTTCAATTAAAAAAGGCTCTCTTAATAATTTTGGACATTGATTTGTTTATTAAAGTTCAAAATGAAACCATATTTCTCCATCATCTAGAGCGTTCCTCCGATTCAACCAAGAAAGACCTCCAGAGGTCTGTGGATAAAGAAGGAACATTACGTTTAGAAGACGTACAAAGAAATGATGAAGGATACTACACGTGTTCACTGAAGAATGGGATTGGGAATCCGCTTCAAAAGACAGTAGAAATTCGAATAAAGGGTAACCAGTGCACTGTTTAGTTTGGACACTCGTGAATAATTCCCTTTACAGACAGAAAAACTTGTAATATCGTATGTCATCTTTATTGTTGTTCTCGGTACAGATTATTTGTTGGAGTGATATTTCTATTAATTTAATAATTTTTTTGTGGTATATCTTGAGAGTACGTAAGTTAAAATAATTGTATTTGTGTTCTGACTAATAAAATGTTTCTTGTTTAGATTTGCCTTATGGCAAAGAAAAACGAAATTTTCTTGGCTTTCTGGTTAAGATAATGTATGTCTGATGATAAACTACGACTTTCAAAACTACAATAAGATATTTTTTAACAGATTTTCGCCATCTTTTACTGTAATTTTTGGGCTTTTACGTTTCCAACATTTGACGCTGTGTGGCGTTGTTTTAGGTTCATAAAGCTTCTTGTTTGCTGCATTAAGATCGCCATATTTTAAAAGTATATGCCATTGAACGCATAGGTTCTTTTTCTCTCGGTGTTTCTGCGTGGATGTCGCAATGCCAAGTGTAATTTCAACTGTGTTTTTAAGCCTTAACTTTGGATTATGAAGGTGTTAAAAACTTTACTGAATGAACTTCTGTAAATCGGCCTGAAGAAATAAATTCGTTATGGTTATCTGGAAGTCATGGAAGATTCGACTTTACTTATTGCTTCAACAGATGATTGTGTATCATGTCGTCATAAAAAGCGCCACCAGTGTTGAGGGTGAGTACCATTGCATTGATATTCATACCTATTATAGTTCTATTTTTATTTATTCCTATGTTTATAAATATATTTTGTATATGCTACAGCTCCACTTTAAATGCATAAAAAGTGCAAAAAGTTATCTTCAATTGGTTAAACATAATTCAAATTGTCCAATAAAAGGTAGCCACATGGCCTAAGATATGGTAGAAGTACAATCCTTTAAGATCGCTACCCTAATTAATAATATTATGATAATCTGTGCTATGATAATGTTATTTTATTTCTTAATTAATACTAGTGGGTTTTATTTCTAGTGCCTTTGAAAATTCGACATTTTAAATTCCCCCAAACCGTAGAGGAGGAGGAGAATGTTCAGATATTTTGTGGTCTAGAAGTGGGAGATGGGGAGGTTGAGTTCCGGTGGTTAAAAGACGGGTTGCCTATTGTATCTGGATCATCTTGGACTATTGTTACACACGCAAAGTTCTCTGTGCTAGAAGTAAATAATGTGAAAGTTAGTAGTTCTGGAAACTATACCTGTGTTGCTAAGAATGAAGTTGGAATAGACCGCCACACTGCGATCTTATCAGTTCAAGGTTAGTTTGATTTTATTAAATCACAAGTGCACACATAACCTAGGGTATTTCATTAATATTACTCATTTGAATGGTGTCAAGATTTTCTTCTTTTACTTCAGTGTGCTCTTCTATTCGGTGCAATTTCGTGTTTTGTTTTTAGAACGATTGTACAAGATTATTTGTGATATTCGTAAGACATCAAATTTACTGGAAACCATTTTCAATCCTTCCTGATTTTCCTTCTTGTATTTTAGGCTCACCAACGTGGAAAGAAGAACCTAGTGACACGAAGGTTGCAGTTGGAGAATCAGTGGAAATGCAATGCTCTGCTTACGGCTCTCCAACGCCCTCTGTTGTTTGGACTAAGACTGGTAATAGATTTTTCTTAAATCATGATTAAAACTTGATGTCTGTGATTTTTTTTTTATTTTGAAATAATATTTCCATAGTTATGTTTCACGCGATTATCTTTTAGATATGTATTGTGTTATTTTTTGTGTTGTCACCAACAAATCTTTAATTTTTCTAGGGAGTAAACATGGCGCCTTACTTGAGTTTGTCGATAGTCACGGAACTTTACGTTTAGACGATATTCAACGAGAAGATGGAGGCTACTACACATGCGTAATAGAGAATGGCATTGGAAGCCCCCTGCAAAAGACGATAGAAATCAAAATTAAGGGTAACGTTGAAATGTTTCGAAGTTGAGTAGTGGGGTCAGGTGGAGTAATTTGTTAAAATAATAGAATGAAGAGCTCCGTAAAAGTACAGATTCAACCAGAAGATGGCTCTATTGGAGATAACTTTGAAACGAAATTTCAAAGTGGAAGACATTGATAACTTGTAACATTTGAGTGGAGTAATGTAATGATTATTGGCTTCGTATTTCCTGTGGTCTTTACGTTTAGGGTTAAGTAGGTAGATATAATTAGTTAGACATCTCATAAGATTTTTAAAGAAGCTTCTGCATGTTGGTCATAACTTTGACATTTGTTGAAAATGGCGTATATTGCTCAGAATATTTTAAACTGGTATTTAATTTTATTGTATTTCGTTATGGTCTACGAGGCGATCGGGAAACTGTTCTTTTTTGCCAATGGAAGTTATTTGTAATCTTGCGAAGAACGAATTTGCCCAAATAATATTCGATAATATTTAGAGATAAATGATTTTGACGCCATCTTTTGTGGATATTTTGTACTTTAAACATTTGACGACATGTGGCGCTGCTTAATATTATCAGGTTTCTTGTCGTTTGGTCATATTCGCCATATTCCAGAAGTATTTTATAGAGAACGCATGGACTATGCTTGTATTCCAATTTCTTAGATGCTGGAATTAATGTATATTGTCAAGTTAGTTTGGGTGTACCAAAACTATAGGGTATGTGGATGTAAGCTATCACTACCTATTCTTATGTAAGCTTGGAAAAGATGTCCGCGATGGTTTTGCGGTCTTGGAAATGCTCTTTGTGTCTGCTGCTTCTACAGAGGACCCTAGATGTCGTCTTGATGAACTTTACGAACGTGCTGTTTGCGTACGCCCTGGGTAAGTGTGCATTATTATTATGTGCTTTAACTTGTGCAATAGAACTAAATTAGTTTGCACGTTCTGTTTTCCATTAAACAGTAAAGTTGATTATTTAAGAATTCTGGGTAAAAACTCTCAGTAGATTGTATAACACACTATGTAACAAGCTATGATTTAGCTTATGTTTTGATATTAGTTTCCTTTAAATATTAGAGAAAAAAATTATTTATTATACTACTAGAATTAAATTATGTACGAGTTAACTGCATGCATTTAAAATTAAAGTCTTTTTTTATTGTAAAATGTTTAACACTAAAATCTAGAGGGCGATAAAAGCGCCCTCTATTTTGAAAAAGTTGTGTATTGTTACTCTAGCAGTATGTCTAGAAAGATCGGTTTTAGTTTTGGTATATACAACGATACATTAGTTAACATAACTGGCTAACTAAAGACTAAATTTGACCATAATTTTAATTTTCTTTATTTAATTAATTAAATCCAGCCAATCACCGTCCAACAACAGATACTACGATAGAAATTTAATTGCAGTCACAATAATCGACGTATATATATATATATTTATCATTACGCCCAGAGTTATAAATGGTAGCTTCTAAGATTAGAAAAATCAGTACGTCTATGTTAGCCCTTATGATAAAAGAAGTTCACTAAATAATGTATGCTCTTTAGACATTCGTTTTCAACTTTTTTTTCTACAGTTCCGGTTAAAATCCAACCATTCTCGTTTCCTCAAGCACCAGAAGAAGGAAAAACAATACAGGTTACTTGTGGTGTGGAAGAAGGAGACGATCCTGTTAAATTTACCTGGTTAAAAAACGGAAATATCGTTCACTCGGCAGATCATTTAACAATTCTTACCCATAAAAGACTATCCGTTCTCATAGTCAACAATGTGAATGTAAACGACATAGGTAATTACTCCTGTTTAGCAACAAACCCTGGAGGTGAGGACAAGTTCTCATCAGAACTGTTGGTTCGAGGTAAGATTACTTAACCAGATCAGTAATTTGTGTTGTCGTGCTTATTTCTGTTTCTTGAATTGATTTCATACACCGGTAGTGAAAAAAATCAGGATAATTAGGCATAAGAAGATTCCTTTCTAGAGTGACTTAGTTCTCCTCAATATACGTGTTAGTTTTGAAACTTTACCAAGTTACGCTGCATGTTTATTTAATCTTACATGATTATTGGAGTTAAAACGTAAATGTTTCTAGGGTTATATCCCCTCCGATGTCATGGTGTTCTGTCATCTGACTCGCGGTTTTATGATACAGGTACATTTATTTATAATATATTCTACTTTTCAGGTGTTCGATCAGTTATGTCAGTTAACACTAGTCTTAACTCTCTATTGTGGTGAATAACCGTGATAATTTAATATAAACATGTGAATATATTCTCAAACTTTAAAAAGCTTCGTGTGTATACTTCATATCTTTAATTAAAGATTCAATCGAGACCCACATTTAGTGGCTAGGTTCGAATCTCTGTTTGACTTTAAAATGTTAGGAATGAATTCCAAACTCTGCGGTTTTCAGCTAAGTGCATTTTGGTTGTTTACGTTAAGGTCCACCTCGTTGGAACCAAGAGCCCCAAGACGTAATTGTTGGTGTTGGAGATAAAGCAGTCATCAATTGTACAGCCTTGGGGCATCCAAAACCGGTTGTACGGTGGGCAAGAGAGACTTCAAGTAGGTATAGGATCCATATTACATCTGGTCATCAAGAGTTCATACTCTGTTACTTCTTTGAAACCATTAGTGATTAGAAATAGTACTTTTTGTTCTCTCGTGGTTTTATAGTCATTTCTCCATAAACACTAAAACTTTGTTTCAATTTAAAAACACTTCATGTTTCGCGGAAAAACGTACTTTTTATTTTCTACTTATATTTAATTAATATCAATAGGATATTTCGTTGTAACGGTAATTAAGTGCATAGTACAGACAACCCATTGTGCTTAACAAAAGTCAAACAATGTTTAAATAGCTTGATAAAACTATATTATCTGATTTTACATTCGCGCGCTTTCTTTTCAAACCTTAACTTTTAGAAAAACATTTACCGCCAATTTTTAAGCTGACGTGAAACATGATGAACTGTGAAAAAAAAGTTCACTTAAGCCTTATGGAAAGTGAAATATTTGTCGTTGCTGTAAATAACATAGAGGGCGAATAACAGGAAACTGCTTAGCGTTTCACCATCTACAGTTTCGCCTGGGGCGTGTCGAACATTTGGAGTCTCGACTTTGAGTAACAACAGATTAAAAATGTGATATTAACTTTGTGAAACGTCATCTAGGCTTCCTCATCATTCTGTTTAAAAGTGCTTATATATAAACGTTACTCAATGTGACACGCCTCTGAAAAACAGCCAATGTTTATATATAAATGTTCCTCAATGTGACACGCCTCTAAAAAACAGCCAATGTTTATATATAAATGTTCCTCAATGTGACACGCCTCTAAAAAAACAGCCAATGTTTATATATAAATGTTCCTCAATGTGACACGCCTCTAAAAAAACAGCCAATGTTTATATATAAATGTGACACGCCTCTAAAAACAACCAATGTTTATTGAAACTCTAGGCAGTATAGTTATAACACATTTTAGTTGTTGTATTTTTTAAGACAATTCCAATGGTAGAATACCAGCCACTTTATAAAATAGGGTTAAACACGATAAAATATATACTGTTTGAAAGTAAGGTGAATATTGTAAGTCATACTGTAATATTTAAGGCTTTTATACGACAACATTCTGTGACCTTTCACGTTGTTATTTTTAGGGGGCGTGGCAGATGTGGGTCTTACAGCCTTACCGCGAAGTGACAGAGTCAGAGAGGATAAAAATGGCGCTCTTGTTATCGACAGTGCTCAACCTGAAGACGCCGGATACTATAACTGTCGCGCATCGACCGGAATAGGAACGGACCTCGTCAAGACTGTACAAGTGACTGTAAGAGGTGAAGCGACGGTTTTCGTAAATAAAACACCAGTCCGTAGTTTGGTTTGCAAAAATAGTTGTCCTGATAAGGAAAAACCCACATTAAACCTATTTTTTAAATATTGTTATCTCTGTGTTTATATTACGATGTACATTCACACAGCCAGCAAACAACACACACGTGTGCATTCAACTTTACATGATTATCGCACTAATTCCATCCGGGTTTTCATTTTTCCTCGCGTTGTTTACTATGTATGGTACGCTAAACAAAAGGCCGTTGTATTTTTTATTCGTTATTATCTTGTCTTAACACTACAGTGTCTAATTATCACAGCGGATCAGACCTGACCTTATTATTTCATTACTTACAGTGTAAGGGATTGTTATCAATCGGCATATTGTTTTTCTTTTCAAAGTCGAGTACTGCAGTATCTGATAATATAAAAATATACAATAACAGGTTTTCTCTGTGTATGACTTGTGTCATTTATAAAAAAAATAGCAATGAGTATTTAATATCGAGATTTCACTAAATGTGATATAATAATATCATTAATCCTAGTCCCCTTCCCTCCACTATCACCCTGGTGAGTGTATTTTGTACAACTAGTCTGTATGTCGTTTGTATTTTATAACTTCTACGTCTGCAGTGGCGCTGCTGTTCCAGTATGGACGCTGATGGCGGTTCGAATCATGCATGGTATATTTAACTAGTATAGAATTATTGTTGCGTTTTGCAAGACTGTTTAACAACTGGAGATCCCAGACTTGGATTTGTATTGATATTGTTTTAACTCTGGTGCAGAACATATTTCATTCTTGACCAAGTTGACCTAGTCCGACTTTTGTGATTGTTCTCGAAGTCAAAGTCTGAGACAGTTGGCTACGGTAAATTCTGTGAACAACTGCCGAGCTGGCGGGAAAAATCATGGGTCTCGCGCCGTTTTCCAAGAGGTTTTACCTCGGCACTAGGGTGGATAGGACAGTGTTTTGTACCCTGTTTTTGCTACCCCTGGGATGTTTGGTGTATGGTACAGGTGAGTTGTTAACAATAGTACGTTTGTAAGTTACATTATTAGCTAACATACTACTACTAGGGTTAGCTAGAAAAATCTAAATATTTCATCTACAAAGTGTATTTGAAGTAGAAGGTACAGTGTAACAGTTTATTGTAAGGTATTATAAGTAACTCTTTGTTGTAACTACAGGAATTTCTCTATTGTAACTATAGATAAAAGTAATTTTTCTTTATTCTAAACGTTTGCTGGGAGTTAAAAGATCAATAATTGTTGTTTTTTAACTTCAATTTTAAACATCATAAGATATGTTTCCTAACAATTGGAAAGTTTAATTTTGGGATTCAAGATAATTCATACTTCTGTACATGTTAATGTGAAGTAGGTATACAAGTTTGTGCATTTGTAGGTGATATTGGAATAAATAATCATAATACTTTTTGTTTGTTTAATTTGTTAAACTTTCCTATGATGTGCTAAACATACCTGATTTTTCATTCTGTGTAATAAGGTGTTGAGCAGTAATGTAATAAAGTATTAATTTACCTTACAGGTGAACCAAAACTTCAACCGTTTAATTTTCCTAAAACATTAATTGAAGGCCAAACTATAAAAGTGATTTGTACACCGAACAGAGGGCGATCGTCCATTGTACTTTCGGTGGCTGAAAAATGGACGTCCGTTGGTACGGAGCCCTCAAGTGACCATGAAAACATTTGAAGATATATCTGTATTGGTAATTAATTCTGCTGGAGATGATGATATTGGAAACTACACGTGTGTAGTTAGAAACCGTCTTGGTTCCGATCAGTTCACTGCTCCATTAATTGTTCCAGGTAAAAGGCAGGATTCTTTTACAAAATTAATACTATAGCAGTTATAAGAAGTTAAGAGTATTATTGATATCGGGTGTATGAACAACACTGATTAGGTTAGTAGTGTTTTGTCAGATCTACTTGTTAAAATCAGGTGTATGAACAACAGGTATTAGGTTAGTAGTGTTTTGTCAGTTGTAGTTGTTAAAATCAGGTGTATGAACAACAGTGATTATGTTAGTAGTGTTTTGGTCAGTTGTAGTTGTTAAACTCAGGTGTATGAACAACACTGATTAGGTTAGTAGTGTTTTGTCAGATCTACTTGTTAAAATCAGGTGTATGAACAACAGGTATTAGGTTAGTAGTGTTTTGTCAGTTGTAGGTGTTAAAAATCAGGTGTATGAACAACAGTG